TTAAGCTTTTAAAGGCCCAGATTTTAATTTCACATCTGTTGATAAAGAAAAATCGAATATAAAATGATTAGAGTTGTCAAACATCTGCTGCAAAAGGTGTCACAAATTCGGGGACGAAAACTCAAGAATTTATATTATGCATCATTATCCATTAATTAGACCTAGCCAGAGGAAAAAAAAAAATATTCGGCAACTTCGAACAAAGATTTAAAAACAGTACGAAATAATTTCATAAAAGCCAAATTTGTAACTAAAATGTTTACTAAAAAAAAGTAAACGTGCGCAACAGATATCAAAATTATAAAATTACAACCTGTGAAAATTTTATTCTGGTGCTGCCATCTATTATTCAACTGTTGCATTAATTACAAAGCACGTTTAATTTTAATATCGTTCACTTTTGAATGTTATAGACAGTGGCGTAGCTAGGGTGGGGCAAGGGGGGGGGGGAATGTGTCCCCGGGCGCAGAATCCAAGGGGCGCCAAACTGATGTGATGAAATTGCAGAATGAAATGTTTTCCGTTCTTGGTATACAGAAAGGGGCGCAAAATCTTCAGATGTCCCCGGGCGCTGAAAACCCTAGCTACGCCTTTGGTTATAGGTACAATTATTATTTATAACTGAATGAGTAAGAATATTTTAACACTTAAATCAATACTTGTTAAGATCTTCACACGTAAAAGCAACAAATAATTTATTATTATTATTATTTTTTTTAATTTCGCAATAGTAGATATAATAGCGATGTGCTAATTTTAACGTTACTATCAGTTTACCCAAACAGAAATTTATTTCTAACTTTTATGTAAATAAATAAGCATAGAAGCTTTTTTTTAATTAACGTTATGAACTTCGTTTGGTGTGTGATTTATAACTTCAAATTATTAACTTTTTGGAATTTTTATCTCTTAGTTTCTGAAGATAATATGAAAAAAAATAATTTGCTCTTGAATCAGAATCCTTCGAAATATTCAGAGCTTTTATATAAAATGCAAAGGTAATATAACGAACAATTTTCGCCTCTGCGATAAATTTAAAAGTTCTCATTTCGCAATGTATACATCTTTTGCTACTCTGAATCACGACTAAAAAATGATGCAAAAAAATTTTAATTTGCTACATTAATATGTAATATGTGGCGCCATCTATTGACACGAAATACAAACATAATATGCTAGAGTAAAACTGTTATTGAATTTAATTGCAAAGTAAGCTATTGAATTGTTTTCTTCTCCCTCCCCTCCAAAAAACTACTAAAATGAGAGGTATGAATTAAGAAAAAAAAAATATCAATAATGATAAAGTAAAATTCAACATTTAATTAAAAGAATTCCTTGAAATGACTTTTAAGATGGAATATCATTCAAATAGTAACTGTAAAGGGACTTCAGTAAAAATAACTACAACTTTATAATTAGATCAACTCTTTTCGAAGTTGAAATCGCATCCCAGATATTGGAATGAAAATGATTTATAAAAATGGCGATGAGGACTCGAATATGAATATGTCAATAATCCTATTAGAAGTTTGAAATGAGTTGAAGAAGAAATTTTTAAAAAATTAACATATTCTTAATATGTAGAGCTTTATATTTTCTAGATGGAATAGCAAAAAATAATGAAAGTTTGGAGAGTACATCAACTTCTAATGAAAGGAAAAGAAAAATTCACTTGATAATTGGACAGTTAAAAAAATAGAGGCTTTCACCCCCCCTTTTTTTTGAGAAGTCGAGATAAATTTTTGAAATGAATTTACTATAAGACGAATATTTGATATTTTTTATGGCTTCATCATAAACTCCTTTATAGCTTTCCACTATAAACTTTTCTAATATGCACCGTTTCATTTTTTACGAGTCAAAACGGAGAATAAAACGATTAAAAATTGCCAGTCTCGATGGGTCCCCCCCCCTCAATTAGTTGAAACAATGATTGTCAAAAAGTCATCGGTCTTCATTTTTATGTCAATAAATCGGTCTCCTTATTGTGTATAGTATTTATCAGAAGACAAATATATTCCTTAACATGAACATTTAAATATAAAGATTTATGTTCCTCAATCACTACTTGTTGCGGTCGATATACAGGACTTCCGAGAATGAATGGTCAGATTTCACAAAATCTTTGTGAGTATTTTATATTACCATGTTTCCTTGCGTATTTCCCCCTTTTTTCCCTAATTTTTCCATCAGAAAACTGAGAATTTCCGCTCTAATTATGTGAATAATTTAACTTCCGATGGACGCCATTACGATAAGAACTTAACAAATGAAAAGTATTCGTGGATAAACTGCAGGTAACTATCACAATATTATTTCTTTAAAAGGAATCGCCCTTTCTTATTAGTCCAATTAGTTTCTTGTTGTCCCTGAAAGACTATTGCTTTCGTTTTGCGATTCAGCGTTGAATCACTATAGATGTCCGTTTCACTTTTCAAACTGTTGCCACCCAATGTTAGAGTCCTGCATTATATTTGAAGAAATTAAATAATGGAAAATCTGCGTAAATGTATGTATATTTCTCGCATTGTGATAAAACAACGGTACCTAAAGCCATCGAATTTTGAATGACGTAATGTTATTGCGAATAGGGGCATGTGGAAGCCCAAATTTGAAATTTGGAATTTGTTTTATGATCGATTTCATATTTTGTAAAACTTTAAACGAATTTTTGAGTAACAAACTCAACGATTTAAAATCGAACCATGGCAACAATCTTCGGGGGGGGGGAACCTTTTTATCTCCAGGGCTCGGAACTGTGTATAATTAAAATTTACCATATTTAATTATGATTGAATAAGTGTCTGCCAAATTAATTGGAGATGTGTAAAAAACAAAGACTGGAAATTTTTCAAATTCATGTTTTATTATCTTCATCTGTATGCCTTAACCACAGCCATGACGGACATCGAAAGTTGTTGAGAGTTCCAGCTATCGCTACTGTGCTTAAGAATAAAACATATATATAGTATATACTTACAATTCTTTTGAAAACAAAATATAAACATGCTTAGTATCATTTCGCTGAAGAAAAATTATCATTAAAGACGTAAAGTAAGAAATTTAGAACTAATATTTCACAAAGACCAGAAATTGAAATTCTGTTTTTTCACTTTCGTTTTCAATTTTTTAATAAAATAGAACTCTCTTGATATAAGATTATTCTAATTAATCTAATTAGAATTTTTTTTCCCTTGCTTTGGGGAGGAACTAGAATTTTCGGGTGAACTTTTATAATTAAAATACATTGAAATGGTTCATCGGCTGATTCTGGATACAGAAAAGCAAGGATTTTTGTGAAAGAGAGATTTCAGTTAATTTCAATGTTTCTCCCCCCTGATGAAGTGCCATGGAGGTTGACTGAATTCCTCTTTTGTTATCTTCACTTTTCTTTAAACTTCATTATTTTTTTTAAGTGCGGTTTTGCTTGTTTGAAATGTTTTGGTTTTAACATTTTAAAATTCTTTGTTGCATTTATATGGTTATTTGAAATGTATTAATTATGAATTTCAATTTCTGGTCTTTGTGAAATACTAGTTATAAATTTCTTACTTTATCTCTTTAATGATATACATATATATATATCGCGTTTACTGCTCATCAGAATGTGAGTACCGTATACTAGGATTAAACATTTCTGAAAATTCAGTACTTAACATCTTTTCAAGGAAAATGCATTTTAAGCACAGTAGCAATGCCACTATAGTAAAGATAATCTTTTTTATTATTTATTTATTTATTTATATTTAAAACAAAAACGGATACACACCTGTACCTTATGTCTAAATGTGAAAGTTGCCGGTGTAAAATTTGTTTTAAGAAATGTTTTTTAAAACTTTAAATTTAGCTTTTACATAACCGGTATTAGTACAGCAGATAAAAAATGGTAAAAGTTAAATTTTTCAGTTGAAAAAAAACTTACAATAAGCAAACTAATTTTTTGACTTTCTGTATAAAAGAGACTAACCCCTCCCATGTTTAAAAGTATATTCAAGAAATTATTGTAATTATCATTGCTTGTCTTAGGAACTTGTGAATTTTAAATCTCACTAGAATTTTCTCATGCTTTTAATATTCAATTTCTCGCACTTTATCTTAAAGAAACATGGCACAATGGCACATTTTACTATTGCTTTGACTTTTTTTTTTTTTTTTTTTTAACTCACTTATGTTTTATTTTTGTAAGGTTTCAAATAAGTTTTGTTAAAAATGCAAGTAGCTATGATTTCCTTATCAAGTGAACAGTGGGATTTTTGATATTATGCAAAAACCTTTTATTTTTTATTTTTGAAATTTTTAAATGAATATTAAGTTAGAATTTAGAATGAAAAAATTTGTATTAACTCGATGAACAAGATAATGCATAAAAAAGCATAATAATTATAATTATCCTTTTCCCTCATAGATTTCTTTAATATTAAGGTAAAGGTATTAAAATAAGGCAAAGTTTTGGAGTATAAGAAGGCAAACAGGAGACATAACCTCGAGAAGCTGTTTTTTGTTTAAAATGATCAAAATATGTCAAACTGTTGCCACCGAATATTATCGCCCTGTACTATATTTGAAGAAATTAAATAATGATGAATCTGCATAAATGTTTCTCGCATTGTGATAAAACAACGGTACCTAGAGCCATCGAATTTTGAATGACGTAATCCTAGTGCGAATATGGGCATCTGGAAGCCCAAATTTGAAATTTGGAATTCGTTTTATGATCGATTTCATATTTCGTAAAACTTTAAAGAATTTTTTTTTATTAACAAACTCAAGGATTTCAAAGCGAGCCATGGCAACGTTGTAAAGAAAAAACATTCTTATCTCCAGCGCGCGAGAGTATGCATCTGAAATTCGAAAGATATGCTCAATTTAAAAAAAAAAAAAAAAAACTATTTTGAGATATTGCTGTTGAACTGAATTTTATGGTTTAAGTGCGAAGAACATGGTATTTAATAAATAAAGGTAACACACAAAATGTTAAAAAAACGCACCTTTAGACGTAATTTAAAATCTGAAACCTTCCAAAGTTTCTTTTTCTTTTTTTTTTTTTTTATTTAACAAGCTTTTGTCAACTTAAAAGCGTAACATAGAAATAAGTAGAACATTATACAGTGAATGAAGAATAATGATAGAACAGTGATATATTTACAAAATGGAAGTAATATTAGATACATGCAGTGTACAGTAGGTTTAATACAGTGAGAGATTGAATAGTGATGTATGAAATTATTATACATGTATAGTAAAATTACAAATGAATATACTAAAAAATATAAAAAAAGTCCATACTCGCTGAACTCTGGTAGTTCGATTAAAGTTCGAATCCTAAATGGGCTGATCGCGTGCGCATTTACATGGTTTTCTGCATGCGTAATGTGAATATGAGTCGGTTCTCCTCGAGAAGTCCTCCACGAAGGCGTCCTTACCCTTAAGCGGACAGCCCTCGCATGTCTTGTCATAATGTCGTAATCGATTAAATATTTAGACAAACTGTAAAAATAGAAAAAAAAAAAAAAATGCCAGCATTTAATCATTTCTCTGCTAGGATATCGGAATCTTTAATGAGAAGGCTAGAAGACTGCTCAGCATTAGTTTATTGGTTTTTGACTCGGGGTTGTCTTCTAAGAAAGGGTTGGCTGCATATAATTTTCGAAATTTTCCTTACATGCAAAGCGAAAAAAAGCCAGTCCTCTCCAAAAGCGCGCGTTTCTTTTGACAGCTAGCTGTTGCATATTTAGCTATAATCTATTAAGAAAGAAATAAACGTAGAAATTACATCGTTGCTCGCCTCTTACCATTTTTCAGGGCATTTGTTCCGTTTGGTGGTATTATAATTTAATCAAGTTGTAGATACATTAGGTATTTTTTTGAAAGATGAAAAATGAGCAGCGCCTTCGTCGGAAATCGAACCACGGACCTCCGGAATACGCGGCCAGCGTACAGACCACCACACTACGAAGGCATGCCAAGAAGGCGGGAGAAATACCTTATAAAGTTTCGAAAGCAAAATTCTCTCGTGGTTCCATGTTCTGGAATGCAAAATTTTCTGAAATCAGTTACGCATAAATTTAATCGAAATTCGTAAATATTCGCTTCTTTTTCGATTTTGTTTGGAATAAAGTTGTGCGGTTTAATTTGACGCAAGTCGCCAAATCTAGACCATCGTCCTCTTCTTCGAATTCGTAGGAAGCATAACCAAATTCTTCGATGAGTAGTCTCTGTAATCTGCTGCAATAAATCAATAGTTTATTCGTCATATAATGTGCTTTCTTTTTTTCATAATTCCGACTACAACAATCGAAGTCTTTCTGTGCTATGTGCTTTATCTCTGATGGTTGATGTTGGTTCACTTTGACCCAAGCGCAAGTAGAAAGAAAACAATAAGTAAGGCCACAAAACGCGTTTACATGTTTAGCGTAGAGTTCTAGGTGCTTCTTCACGGAACTTAATGACAAAGTGTGTAAACATTTCAAATGCGGACCATAAATTACATTTAGATTTCCTAAGTTTTTTGCTACAGCACTGATTCCTTCGTAGTGTCCGAAAGCTGCAGAATCTAGATACAGAAGAAAGGCTCCGTTTTTCATCAGCTTGAAAATTTCCTGTGAAAGAAAGAGAAAATTACTAAAGGCAGCATCTGGTAGTTGAATTTTAGATATCTTTGCAGCTAGGTGTTAGAGTGAAAAATTTGAATTTAGGAGAAGCAAGAGAACATTCGAATATACCGCAATATCACAGATTGAAACATTAACTGATATTAATGTGAAGTTATAGTATTACCAATTATCGAAACTAATCTCGTTCGTTTAGAGTTTGAATATTTTTATTATTTGGATTGCCTGTTAATATAGTCAATAGACTTACAAAAAATACCTACAGTGGAACCTCGAGATACGAGCACTTCTATGTACGAGAAATTCGAGATACGAGGAACTGAATACGAACATTGACTCGAGCAACGAGCCAGGTTGTAGGTATGCGTGGCGCGTTTCCCGAACCGGCTCGACTCGGGGAATACCCTCGTCAGATCACTCGGTTTTCTTTGACATACGTGTTTGTGCGCTTTGGTTTAATTGTTTCTTACATTTAATATGAAAATAACTATTTCACGATGCCTCCCAAGAAGATTGTTGCCTCAGATAGTGCTGCAAAGTAAAAGAAGGAAGCCATGGCCGTTGAAATTAAGAAAGAAATCATAGATAAACATAAGCGTGGTGTAAGAGTGATGGCAAAGAATTACAGCCGTTCGACATCGACGATCGGCACTATTCTGAAGAAGAAGAAAGAAACTAAGAAACTTGATGTGGCCAAACGAATTACCGTTACTTCCGAGCACCGTCCAAAACTCCTAGAAGATGTTGAGAAGCTGTTCTGTTGCTGGATATGGATTAACGAGAAGCAGTTAAAAAGCGATTCGGTATCGTAAGCTATCATTTGCGCTAAGGCTAAAGTATCTGTACTTGGACCTTGTCCGAAAAACACCAGGGACGTCGACTGAAGATGAGATGGGAATGAGATTTTGGGGCGTGCGGAACGGATTAACTAGATTTCCATTATTTTGAATGGGGAAGTTTGTTTCTAGATACGAAAAATTCGCTATACGAGCTGAGTGCTGGAACGAATTAAACTCGTATTTCGAGGTTCCACTTTACAAAAAGAGAATTTCATTCCATTTTCAGCTGAAAAAGACAATTTTGAAATTTCAGCAGAAAATATTATATACGATTAGCTTGGATTAATTTAGAAACCTCTTAAAAATAAAGGTAATAACTGAAATTAAAATTTTTTTAAAAGAACGAGTTTATTAAAAAAAGTTCAATCATATTTAAATGCCTCATACCCTTAGTTATCGTAAAATGCAGCTAGATCTACCTAAGCGTTGATCCTTAAGAATTCTCACACAGGTTGGAAGATGAACACAACCAGTGGAAGGTTGTAAAAGACCCTTTTATTGAACACAAAATATTTAACAGGTGACACAGCCTTACGTACTTGCAGAAACACCGACCACCTGCGGTGGAAACGTAAAAGAAAATATAACACAGAATTTAAAAGTAAAGAATAGCGCGAGACTACACAATTCAGTTTAAGCTAACAGGTTGATTCAAAAACCTACACCAGCAGAATAACTTAACGGCAAGAAGACGTAGCCGCTATTAAGGTTAACATCTGGCAGAAACTAGCAACGTGCACTCAAAACAGCGAAATCATGCTTTGTAGAACCTTCCATGTCCCATCTGCAACTACATGCCGCGATTATTCTGCATTTTGCCGGAACATGTTGTGCAGAATAATCACGTGTGCAATTATTCTACACAACGTGTTCCGGCTTCCATGAAGATAGAGATACATCAAGTAGAGTCTGCCATGTCAAGGGAACTTCGATACTAAGAAGCTAAGATGTAAAGTACTGGGTTTCTACTACCAGTAGTGGTAGTACTTCCCAGTAGCTTGAAAGAACTTTCGAAGGACCTGGCATTGTGGAGAATCCAAATGGATCCTGTAGCAGGTCATCAGGAGGAAGCTAGAAGAGAAAAGAGAAGACAAATGTTGAACTGGTCGCCCTCTGTTGGCGGTGGAAGTGAAGGTAAACAGTGGAAAAGATGAGAAAGCTTCTTGAAAGTGCATGTAGAAACTGAAGTCGCTTGGGTGGCGCCATCTCTCGTCAGTTGTGGAAAGTGAGCCCAAAGTCGAGATTTAGGGTTAGCTGGGGGTTGAACGTGGTGCCATCTGGTGCTGGAGGAACTTCGAAGAGAGACTATATAAAAGCTACACAAAAAGGGGAAGGCAGCATTTCGCTGGCCAAAGAGAAAATAGTAATCCTAAAAATAGAAGAAGTATGTTCTGCTTGAGATGTGGAGCCATCTGCCTTCCCCAATCGTAGTTAATACACTCATCGTACAAATTAAATGGAGAATTATATTTGCAGTTCATCGAAAACCTGAATAAACTGAGTAGCGAGTTGTAGTTTATCTTCCTGCGTTTTCAGTTTCTTGAAAATCATAGCAAATTTCAACATTTGCTGAAGAAACCGGCAAAATTAAGCATCATAGATTCAGAACAAATATCCTTCAGGGAAGTAGAATTCACCGTCATAGTGGAGAGGTAACACATGCGCAGAAGCACGCTCATCAGGGAATGTCTTCCTGGACTTAAAAGCTTTTTTTGATCGGATTATTAGTCAACTCCGCAGCTGGCTTTTCTTCAGACTTTCTGTTATGAATATAAGACGAGCTCCGGTACTTCTTTTTACAAAACTGAGCGACAATCTCAAGGAAAAAATTTAGAATTCGTAACGTTTTATTTTAACAATAAGCAGACTTTGCAATACTTTATTTCCCTAGAAATACGAACTCATGAGAACATGAGACGTTCATTAGTCATTCATAGTCCCCTCACTCACATGCAGAAACCTTTCCCTTTAAGAAGGGCAATAAATTTGGGGAAGTTTGTTTAGGCGTAAATTTTTCGCCATGCCATCGTATCTTGTGTATTGTTATCGATGCTTATAGTTAGTTATCCTAGCAGGAAGGAAAACTTGTGTTCTTAAATGTGCGTTAAGTGACAGCGAGTACAATAAGAGTGAAATACTGAGATAAACTGCTCAAGCACGTCCTATACATCGTCTTCCCACAGTATCCACGAATGGGGAAAAGCGTAATCAGCAACTTTACATTCATCCTTAGGAGTCATATTCAGGACTCATTTTACCCCTGACACACATGTGCTTGATGCCTATAATTATATAAGCAAAGAGCCGCGGTCAAAGAGAACGTTCTCTCTCATTAAAAGTCTCCTCATTTTTTGTTTCCACCCACTCATATCCTCATTCTGTTTCGTCCTGGAATTTTCATCAGCTATAGTTTAAGTATATTTAATATTTGTATGATAAAAGAGCTCCCCCCTACGATCAGAGCTAAAATTGGACCGGCTTCGGTGCTTCTTAGTATTTGTAATAAATCATAATTCTAGCCGGAAAGAAGCACTTCCTAAATGCCTAAATGCGCTTCTTTTATGTAACTGAATAACGATTTCAGTAGAAATTTTATCTCGAAAATTTTATTTTTAGCAATAAAATTATATTAAAAAACGATTATAAAATTTATTTTATTACTTATTATTATTTAATTTAATTTTAATTGTTCAATAAATAATAATTAATCATGTAATTAATTATCAATTAAATTATAATTAATTTTTTATATAGTAATTATTGATTAAACAGCTATTAATTAATTTGATAATAATTAACCATTTAATTTTAAAATGATTAATGAGTTTAAAAGTCATTTTATTTATTTATTTATTCTTGTTCCTCTTTGCTGACGAGCTTCCATAGGGCTCCGGCACTTCTAATTTTAGAAATTAAGCCCTGACTTTCAGATTAAGAGCAGCTTTCTTTTTAGCTCAAAGGGCGTTAGCACAGAAGGGCTATTAATTTCGCTTTGCCATTTTGCGTTGGTTCAATATAAATGCCGGTTCTCTTTTCAAATTGTTGCCACCAAATATTAGAGCCCTATGTAATATTTAAGGAAATTAAATAATGAAGAATCTGGATAAAGCATTGGTAGAATCCAATGCTTTATCCAGATTCGGTAGAAGATTCTCGCATTGGGATCAAACAACGGTACCTAGAGCCGTGAAATTTTGAATAACGTAATCTTCTACCGAATATGAGCATCTGGAAGCCCTAATTTGGAATTCGAAATTTGTTTTATTATGGATTTCATATTCTGTTTGTTTTTAACAAACTCAACGATTTCAAAGCGAGAAATGGCAAAACTACGGGGAAAAAAAATAACGCGCGAGACTGTGTATCGGAAATTCTAAAGATAGGCTCATTTAAAAATTATTTTGCTGTTCAATTAAATTTTATGGTTTAAATGCGAAAAACCTGGTATTCAATAAAGGTAACACACACACACACACACACACACAACACAAAAAAAAAAAAAAAAAAAAAAAAAAAAAACCCGCTCCTTTGGACGTAATGTAAAATCTGAAAGCTTTTAGATTTTTGTTTTTTTGTTTTTGTTCAAGATCTTTATTTAGAGAAATAAAACCTCTAGCCACATCCTTAGATAGCTTGCATATCGAAAGCTAAAGCAGTACAAACACAAACACCCCAACCTTCTTACTAGGCTCATCATTTTTTGCATTCGCTTTTTCGGTTTATTTTTAGATGGTTGGCCTGCTTGGTTATCGTGGTTTCGATTTGTGGCAGTGTTCTGGGAAGATAATATTGTTAAAAGCTTATTCAATGAGTATCTAATCAACCTTATCGAGCTTCCATTGTTACCGTACAAACATTTAAAACGAAATAATGCAGGATGGCATAGTATCAAAGCATCTAGAAAATGATTGTTTAACAAATCCTCTGCCTAAAGAAGAAGATTCATTCTGAAGAAAATTCATTAAGATTGCTTAGTTTGTTCATATATATGACAAGGATTGTCTTTTGTGTGAAAAAATTTAACATTATTTATATATTTTTATCGAACTTTTCAGATATAAGCTACTTGGTTTATTTTTAGTCCAAAGGGACTTTGTCCCTTTGTTGTTTTCGTTTTGCGATTTTGCGTCGAATCACTCTGAATGTCCG